CGGGCCTGGTCGGGTCTCAAAGTTGTGGGTATGGGTTTCAGATTTAGCAGTACCAGTCGGGCCTGGTTGGATCTCAAAGTTGTGGGTATGGGTTTCAGAATTAGCAGTACCAGTCGGGCCTGGTTGGATCTCAAAGTTGTGGGTATGGGTTTCAGATTTAGCAGTACCAGTCGGGCCTGGTTGGATCTCAAAGTTGTGGGTATGGGTTTCAGATTTTGCAGTACCAGTCGGGCCTGGTCGGGTCTCAAAGTCATGGGTACCGGATTGGTTCTGGTTTCAAATTTCACAGCACCAGTCAGGCCTGGTTAGATCTCAAGTTTGTGGGTTCGGGTTAGGTTCGAGTTTCAGATTTAGCAGAACCAGTTGGGTCTGGTCGGGTCTCAAAGTTGCAGGTACAGGTGGAGTTCAGGCTTGAATTTTATGCCCATGCAGACCTCGAACACACACACACACACACACACACACACACACACACACACACACACACACAGTACTATGCAGGTGAACCTGTTTTTACCACTGTTGTGTGTAAACTCTGCTCAACATCATCACATCCCTCTCTCTCTCTCTCTCTCTCTATGTCTCTCTCTCCATTCATCTTCTACTCTTTATCCTTCTGTCGCTCAGTCCATCTCCCTGCCCATCTCTCTCCTGGTCTTCACCTTTTCATCTACTTGGCTGACTCTCCCCTTCCCATCATTCTGCATTCTGATCGGGGGGGGGTCCTGTTCCAGATAACCTCTAGGTTAAATAGAACCGTGTTGATGTAACAGGACACCACACAGACACACAGATCAGCTGGTCAGTCTGTGAGGAGCAGCGCGTCACCTCTCGGCTACAGAAGGGCACACGACACACAAACCGACCTCCGTCAGCTCATGAGAGGAGATTAGGAGACTTCAGTATTTCGACACCACCACTGGACACACACTCACACCCCCCAAAGGGGTGTAATTACTGGATAATGTCACACACACATAGATGCGCCTGTCTGAGTTCAAACGGTCATGTCAGTCTGACCTTAAAGGGGCCAAACTGTCCACACTTTTCTTTTTTTTAAATAAGAGTTGGACTCAGTATGTAAACATTGTGAAAGTTTTAACTCCATAGTCCACATATAGAAAATAAACTGCAGAGCCAGCCGGTTTTGAATTTGCTGTTTTTGTGATGTCACAATATCTGATGCATTAGTTTCAGCATAATTCAATGATTAAGATGTAAACAAAGTCAGTCAGAGTGGTTTGGTGTGAAATGCTCTGTTCTAGATAAACTTACTGAGTCAGAACTGTTCACAGTGGTGGTGATAGGAACCAGACGTCCACCTCTAAAAGCTCCCTCACAGAAAGTTACTACATGAAATGGTTATGAATTCACTGCCTGATGACTGAGATGCTGTTTTATGATAGTTTTGATTAATTTCATTCAAGGTGGAGGGATACATGCAGGGTGTTTTGAGGCAAAATAGTCCCCAAAGAAAACGTATTATTTCAGATTTTCCACTATTTTCCATCATCAACATTCCATATAAACTCAGAAGACTCGTGTAGGTTCACTGGTGGTTCTGGATAGTAAATAAAATGTCTATATCTGTGTTGTAGTCATGGCGACCCCTGGTTCCTATCACCACCACTGTAAAGACATCTGAACCATTTCACACCAAACCACTCTGAATCTCTCTGTTTACATCTCAATCACTAAGCTGTGGTGGAATTCTGAAAAGTGACGAGGACAGCAGAAAAGTGACCACTGAGGCTTAAGTTTTCTCATCACATGGGCAGTAATGATGAAGATGATGAAGATGGTGAAAAAAGTGCTCTTCTGCAGGTATTTCAGCCATGCAGCTGGACACATGCAGACTATTCCTCAGGTCCAGCTGCAGCTTCCAACTATGAACCCCTCACATACAGACACATACAATAAACAAAGGACCTCACTGTGTCTAACAGTGAACACACAGCCTTAAATTAGAAATGGAAAACTGCCAGCTCTCCATCTATAACAGTGAAAAAAGCACTCTTAAATATAAGTGAAGATATATACAGTCCATCGTCCATCTTATCAGCTCCACTGACCATATAGTTTCACTCTGTAGTTCTACAGTTACAGACTGTAGTCCATCTGTTTCTCTGCACACTCTGTTACCCTGTTCTTCAGTGGTCAGGACCCCCATGGACCCTCACAGAGCAGGTACTATTTGGGTGGTGGATCATTCTCAGCACTGCAGTAACACTGACGTGGTGGTGGTGTGTTAGTGTGTGTTGCGCTGGTCTGAGTGGATCAGACACAGCAGCGCTGCTGGGGTTTTTAAACACCTCAGTGTCACTGCTGGACTGAGAATAGTCCACCAACCAAAAACATCCAGTCAACAGCGTCCTGTGGGCAGCGTCCTGTGACCACTGATGAAGGACTAGAGGATGACCAACACAAACTGTGCAGCAGCAGATGAGCTATCGTCTCTGACTTTACATCTACAAGGTGGACCGACAAGGTAGGAGTGTCTAATAGAGTGGACAGTGAGTGGACACAGTGTTTAAAACTCCAGCAGCTCTGCTGTGTCTGATCTGACACTGAAGAACAGGATGAAGGGGGGGGGGCAAAGTACAGATAGGCCTTTGGGGTAAGAGATAATAATAATAATAATAAAAATAATAATAATAAGTAAATAATGGTCTTATGTAATCACAATAACTAATTAATGAACAAAGTTTATTTCAAGTGTTCCTATTTTACTGTAACTTGTCTTTTGTCCAAGCTTACTATAAAGAAGTGATTTTAAATGAAGTGAAACGCGCTGACAAACTGATGAGATTCACTGGGGGTGGGGGGGGCCTCCTACCTCAGGTTGGGGGGTTTCTTACCCCAAAAGCTCGACAAGATGTCTTTCTTTTCTGTGCTACACATGCAGGTCTGCAGTTCCAGATCACCTCCTCTGACCGTACATAGGTTTATACACCACCATCCTGCAGATGCTGAACTGAGCACACGTATGATTTACCTTTACAGTAAACAGACACTGCTCTTAAAGGGGAACTCCACCAATTTTTAAAACATTTGCATAAATCTGTCGTTGTGATGTAAACAAAGTCATTCGGAGTGGTTTGGTGTGAATTGGTTTGTTGTACAGACTCAGACGTCTTTACAGTGGTGGTGATAGGAACCAGGGGTCGCCATGACTACAACACAAATATAGACATTTTATTTACTATCCAGTAAATAACCACCAGTGAACCTACACGAGTTTATATGGAATGTTGATGATGGTAAAACAGAAAAATCTAAAAAAAAAAGTTTTCTTTGGGGACTAGTTTGCCTCACAACACCCTGCATGTATCCCTCCTCCAATATCTCAGTAGTAACTTTCAGTGAGGGAGCTTTTAGAGGTGGACGTCTGGTTCCTATCACCACCACAGTGAACAGTACTGACTTGGTAAGTTTCTCCAGAATGAAGCGTTTCACACCAAACCACTCTGACTGACTTTGCTTACAACTTAACCATTTTGTGACACGGAAAATTTTAAAAACTGGTGGAATTGCCCTTCAAGGTGGCACTTGTACTTATTTAACCACCCCAGTGTAACGTTAGCTGATCTGAAGCGTCCTGTTTCTCAATAAACTGTGTGTACTGCACGCTGTCTCTGTCTGTATATGTTCTGGAAGAGTATAGAAGCTGGTCGTACTGATCGACACACTGATCGATCCTAACTGATGCGCTGGAATCCGCAATTCTATCGATCAGCTGTCAGCGCGTCTGTGACAGTCAAGCCTCATTTACACAGCACAGTATACTTCAATGTTGACCCCGTTGTACATCCAATTTACACCAGCTGAGCACAAAGTGACACCTAACAGTCCAGAAAAGGCTCGTTTCACCGGTTTTATTCGTGTAAGCTGAAAGCCACCAATCACAGTTTCAGCAAAGGATGAAAATAAAGCGTTAAGTTAGCGCCAGTTAGCGACCACCACATTCAGATGTGTTAGCATTAGCTGCTCCGTCCTCCTTTCGGCCGTGCAGGAATGAAGACCTGAGGCGTTTTAAGTCGGGATGTGGTTTGAATAAAATAAAAACAGAAGCCTAAAGCTACAAAGTCCCGCTGCAGCGCTCAAAATGTGTGGCCCGGAGGCCGAGTCTGAGACCGGGAGGAGGCTGAAGCTAGCTTCTTGTTCGAATTGCCCCGTTCCACCTTAAATGCCGCAGCAGCTACTATAATAACGTCTGAGGCGACATAATGTAACTCCGCTGCACCGTTTAAGGTGGAACGGGAACATTCGGACAAGAAGCTGGCGAATAGGAAGCCAAGCTCTGCTCCGTGAGGCTGAGGACTGGCGCTAGCTTTAGCTTTAGCTTTAGCGTTAGCTTAGCCAGCAGAGCCAGAGCGGTTTAAGCCCGCAGCCTCAGCCAACATCTGTCCGGTCCGGGGCGAGGAAAGCCGCTGGACAGCCGGCTGGGAAGCACAGACACTCGGGTCGTTCGGGAGAACAGCACAGACGGATATTCTTCAGAGCACAGTGTTACATAAACGACTGACAGGAGGCTGTTTATGACACAAGAACGGCGCTCCGGAGATATAATAACGTTAACGTGCACCGGTGAAATGGTTCTGTATAGCACCAAAAAGGGTTCTACTACTGCTACGATGCCAAGCTTGCAGCAACAGAAGAACCCTTTTTTGTTTCAATAAGTTACGGAACCATTTTCAAAATGTTTCTGTACAGAAACGAAGCTGAAGTTGGCTTCTTCTTCGAATCTTCCAGTTCCACCTTAAATGGTGCAGCGGTTACATTCTGTCTGCATGAGGCGTTTAAGGTGGAACGAGGAAACTCGGACAAGAAGCTGGTGAACGCATTCTCCATCAATCTGAAGAACCGCTTCACCAAGCAGATAACCGTATAATCATGCAGATGTCTCTGTATAGAACTCGTGGCTCTAAACAGAACCATTGCCTTCGCCGAAGAACCCTTAAAGAACCATATTTTTTACATAACACAGCTCGATAACTCACCTCATGTTTTCCACGTCCCTGCCGCCGCTTTTTAGCACACAGACAGGAATGGCGATCATAGCCAGCAGCATCATGTAAGCCACGTAGAAGAACTTTTTGAAGTAGAAGACGAAGGTGCTGCTGGTCAGAAACAGGACCGGGACGACCAGCAGCGGCAGCATCCATAAAGCCTCCATACCCGCTCACACCACCACTGCCTCGGCCACGCCGCTTCGGGAACTGCCGCTGAGCCGTAATAGCTAAAAATAACGCCCGGCTAACAGTAATAGTGCCTCTAATAGCCGCCGTGTGTGTCTCCGCCACCCCGCCTACATTAGACAGAGAACCCAAATCAGACACTTCAGTAACTTTTAGTGTTGCGTTAGTGACCGCCGACGTCAAATCAGTGGCACACGTCCGAGTCCTTCTTCTGAATCGGTTCTTTGATCTGAATCAATTAACTCGAATCACTGAATTGAACGTGGTTTTTTTCTGTAAGATTCAGATTGATGGAGAATGCGTTCACCAGCTTCTTGTCCGAGTTTCCCCGTTCCACCTTAAAGATCTACTCTGCACCAGAGGGTCAAATTAGAAATTAGAAAATAACCACAATTTAAAACATTACTTTTATTTCAAATTCAATTTAATTTGCTTAATTTCGGTTAAAGTTTCAGCCTCGTAATATAGAACCACATACAACACAAAATTAATTCAATTTAATGTTCTAATAATGTGGAGGAAAGTGCATGTGAGGCCCAAATCGTGGGAAAAAACAACATTTTTTTTTAGCTTTTTTTAGTAATAAAAGACTTTGATGTGGTGTGTGCACACCTTTCAAGTACCAAAAAACATTGCACAGGCAAGAACTTAAGTTCACTTACAAGTTTTGCTCATTTTTATAACTGTGATAAGTCATTCTCTGTCCTAAACCACATCTACAAACCTACACCCCCTTAATGAAGAACTACTGAGGATGTGTTTACCAAAAAGGTTTGGGTGACTATTGACTTCTAGTGCTTGTTAGCAACATTGGCTTCATAGCTCCGGCGCTAAACTAGAAAAGCAAAGTTTGGACACCAAACATTTTTTTGGCTGATCGACTATGTCTGTGGGGAAATGTGCATGTTTGATTTTTTTCCCTTAATCATTCCTTTAATCAGTGTTTATATATGAAGTTGAGCTTCGAATAAAGTTGACCTGACTTTAACAAATCAATGATTCGCTGAATCAGACGTCCGATTCATCACAACGGACCGCTGAAAAGAATCGGTTCGGTAGAACTGAATCGAACAGTCCGTGTCTTCAAATCAGGCGGAACCGAAGAAATGCTGGTAGAGACGAAGGTGGAGCAGAACTTCAGCCAAAAGCTGAAATGGTGCCGAGGTCCTGTGTACCAGCTCTGACGGCCCGCCACAGTGATTCAGAGAGGCGGGTGTGGGGGGAGAAACGTGGACCCCTGCCTTGTATTTCCGGGTGCTGGCTGTTTATGTTCCCCTGTCTGGGCTTGTCTGTTCTGGGAAAGCGAGTAGACAGTGTTCAGGCTAGAATAACCTTTCTAAAGGGTTCTACCTGCACACACGTCTCTGAAGGAAACGAATCAGCCTGAATTAAGAACTGCCTCAGTTGAGGACGTCCAGAATGTTCTGGAACAACTTCCCCATACGGGAATATGATGTATGGCAATATATGGATACATGACATATATTAGAATATAAGGATTTCCTTTATATCCAGTTTATTTGAAATTGACCATTTCCATATACAAACGTATGTGTAACACATATATTTACAGTATGTGACTTTTAGTCCATTCATCATGAAATCTACATACAATGTAAAGGACAACAGATGTTTTCAAATTATGTCAAAAACTGAAAAACATCAAAAACGGAGATACGAGGTTTTCTTCCGACAACACTGTGCCCACTCACTGTCCACTCTATTAGACACTCCTACCTTGTCAGTCCACCTTGTAGATGTAAAGTCAGAGACGATAGCTCATCTGCTGCTGCACAGTTTGTGTTGGTCATCCTCTAGTCCTTCATCAGTGGTCACAGGACGCTGCCCACAGGACGCTGTTGGCTGGATATTTTTGGTTGGTGGACTATTCTCAGTCCAGCAGTGACACTGAGGTGTTTACAAACTCCGGCAGCACTGTTGTGTCTGATCCACTCAGACCAGCACAACACACACTAACACACCACCACCACGTCAGTGTTACTGCAGTGCTGAGAATGATCCACCACTCAAATAGTACCTGCTCTGTGAGGGTCCATGGGGGTCCTGACCACTTAAGAACAGGGTAAAAGGTCATAATGTTATGCCTGGTCTGTATATACATATATATATATATATATATATATATATATATATATATATATATATATATATAAATGCTTTAAAAAGTCTTTCTCTGTTTGTATCAGATATACATGTATGATCCATCAGACACATTGTAGACAGTATATATGATCTATGTATTATGCATATATGTATTCAACCTATGAAACATATACGTATGGTTTATATAATATGGATGTATGTATTCACCCATCTGTGATATATATATATATAACACGTGGATCATATATATCAGACATGTGTATGGTGCATATAATATGCATGCATGTGTTCACCCACCTATCAGACATGGATCTTAGCTTCTGCCATTCCTCAGTAGAAAACAACAGCCATAGCGAAGCGAAGCAGACAGTCACAGAGCTGTGGCGAGGCCTGTTTGTGCACGTTGTTGTCAATATATTTGAATAATTCCTCTTTGCTTAGGTAAATGTGCTAAGAGGGCAACTGTTAGCCTTGTCTTTCAAGTACTGCCGCTTCAGGGCATTTTCTCATAACATGGGGGAAAGTGCCTGTGAACGCTTAAAGGGCCCATAACATGGAAAAGCAAATTTTTTGTAGCTTTTTTTTTAAACAAAAGATTGTGATCTCAAAAGTTGACACAGATTTTTTGAATGAGGCACAGAACAGAGCTATGTATTAAAGGCACAGTAACCGAAACAGCCTGGTTAATTAAAGGATAAACAGAGGTTGGGAAATGGTCATGTAAAAATGAATTATGACTCTTTTTTGGTGCATAAATCCATGTAAACATCATGAGTTGATCTCAGGGGAAAAAATATGGGATATGCGCCTTTTAATAGAAGCAAGAAAGAGATTTCGGAGGAATATCGTCATGCAGCGATATATTATCATACAGGGAGTCTAGCAGTGAACAGAAGAGGTGCTGTAGATGCTTGTAAAGGTGATTTGGTGGCGCTGAGATGGATGAGCCAAACGACAGATTAGAGGAGGAGCAGTTAATGAGATTAAGACGCAAATCTGGGTTTGTTAATCCGAGACAATCAGATCCTCCGCTCAGTGTGTTTAACTGAGACCTGATCTTTCTCTCCTCACTCACTCACTCACTCACTCACTCACTCACTCACACGTTTCCTCTGTACCAAGATGCATCAAAGTAAGACCAGGCTGTGTTTTTTTAAACAAGGCCTACTGTCGATATTCTTGCATATCGTTGTCGGAACAAAACCTCGTATCTCCAAAACGGTAACTTTACAGGAGAAGGAAGAAACCTACTCTACTTTTAATGTAAGTCAATGGAACCAGAGTTTTTTTCAAGTAATTTTCAGCCGTTTCTTTTGGTCCATTCATCATGAAATTTACACACAATGCAAAGGACAACAGGTAATTTCAAATTATGACAAAAACTAAAAAACGTCAAAAATGGAAATACGAGGTTTTGCTCCGACAACAGCGATAATCGCCTTTACGTTAAAGGGCCCAAATCATCTAAAACTGTTTTTTTTTAAAGAAAAGAGTTTGATGTAATATGTAAACATGTTAACGTTTCAAAACGTATTATTTGCTCTCTATTCTGAACTGTCCATTCATGGAAACGAAGCCTGTTTTGAATTCACTGTTTTTGTGATGTCACAAAAAACCAGCACATTTCACTTTCACACATATTCAGCCTGTTTAGCCTACAGCTGTTTAGCCCCGCCCACTCACACCAAAGTTAAATGGTTCAACCCAGACTGCTTTTTGGAATGACTCACAGTACAGGGCAGCCAATCAGATCAGAGCTCATTTACATATGTCAGTCTTAAAGGCGCAGTAACACAAACAGCCTGTTTAATTCTAAGTGATAAAACTGTCACGTAGAAATGAATTATGACTGTTTTTGCTACATAAAAGCATACAGATGTTATAAGTGGAGCTCAGAGGGAAATACAAGAACAATGTAGGATGTGCCCTTTAACAGTTAGGCCCACTGCTGAGCTTCATTTATAGGAATTTTAAGAAAAAAACAAGCCTTCAGAATGGAAACTCTCATCAGCAATACAACAACAGAGTGGAGTAATGTTCATGACGACACCTCGGGTGACCTTTTCCCCGACACCAGCATAGCAACAACCTTTGACCACTGGAACAGAATAGCTGCGATGTGTCAGGGGCAGCTTTGGACCTGATCGCATGATCCTGATCACATCAGATGAAAGTGCACAAGACAGGTTTTGCACACATTTCACCACTCGAGCTCCTTTTATTACTTTTTAGGACTTTTCTCTTCTGGTATTATTATAATTTTTATGATCAATAACTGAAAGTCATATTTCACAATTCACAGTTGACAGTATGACAATATGACAGTCATATTTAACTAAAACCACTGGAGCATTAAATTAACACCTAAAATCTAAATTATATCCGCCCAAATTGTCTGTTATTAGACTTTTTAGGCCCTTAAAGTCGGTACCAGTTTCAGCCACAACGTTTTCACATCAGTCAGGCCCTATTTCGGTTCATAAACAGCTCTCGGACCAATCGGAGTCCAGCTTCTGACCAATCAGGGGCTGGCTTCTGACAGAGGCAGACCCCTCTGGTCCTTTTTTCAGCTCACATTTTTTACCTCGTGACATTTGTGGCATCAGTCACATGAGAAATATCATGTTTCAACAATGAAAATCATCACTGTCCCAAAACAAAAAACAGCCAAATATCTCCATTTTTTTCTGTCATTTGAACATGGCAGACAGCTAATAATGATGATTATTGTTTTATTGTTGTGTTTTAAAAGGAACTAAACTGCAAATGAATATTGTCACCATTTATTTATTTATATTGTGGCACAGTGGGTGGTGCTGTCGCCTCAAAGCAAGAAGGGTCTGGGTTCGATTCCCCGACCGGGCAACCAGGGTCCTCTCTTTGTGGAGTTTGCATGCTCTGTCCGTGTCTATATGGGTTTCCTCCCACAGTTCAAAGACATGCAGTCAGGCCAACTGGAGATGCTAAATTGTGTGTCTGCCCTGTGATGGACTGGCGGGCTGTCCAGGGTGTTTCCTGCTTTCCGCCCTATGAATGCTGAGATAGACTCCAGCACCGACCCAGGAGGATAAGCGGCTTAGATGATAAAAT